CACTTCCCATCCTCTGCAAGTCACTGCAGCTTGTGTTACGGTCCTTGCCTGAGCAGGGATTGGATAGCAGGTTGCTTTGGAGCGACGGATTTCCCCCTGCCTGCACACACAGAATGTGGAACTATTACGGACTACTCGGTGTGGGAAAAAGCTTGTCGCACGTGTTGCAGCTCTGGCAGTGCCAGTGCTGCACGATTCCAGGGGAGCCAAGCTTCATGCTACCTGCAAACTAATCAATCCAGCCAGCCTGCCAAAAATGATGAAGGCAGTGCCTAAGCAACAGGCAGGAAAGAGATCTGGAACAGTCTTTCGGCCTGCTTGCACCTTGCAGAGCTTGGCCGCCCATGCTGCAACAACCCTCCGCATCATCAAGAAACACATCTTGAAAAGTTAGACCTTCATGTACGCCATCCTGCTTGAGTCAGGTTGCAAAGTGAAGCCAAGAGGGCTAGCCAGATCATAATGGAATCTATTGCGCCGCACCACCTCGAGCAGGGTCAGGCTACCAAGCTACTTCGAGGGATGCTCGAAGAACTGCCGGTTATGAAGGCTGGAACTCAAACCAGCGATCAAGTTGCTTTAGCTCGCTTGCTGCCAGGCACGTAGGATTTGACCAGCTGGTTGGGTCACCTCGCACGTTGTGGGCCTGTTGCAGGCTGCTGTGAGCTACCTTCAGCGGAGCCCCCGTCAATCTCTACAAGCAGAGAAGCTGAAGGTGATGGGAATGGAGTGTGATTACTCAACCTGGTACCCTGGCATACCCGAGGTGTGATCTAAAAAGCTGCGCTCAACACCTATCAGTCTTCCTATGTGACGGACGCAGTGCAGCAGAGCGGCCGTCACTACAAAGGTCATGCTCCTCAGGTGTGCCGCTTTCGGAACGCGAAGGCTGCTGAGTACGCAACCAAATTCAGAACTGCTCAGCATGTTCCATCATGCTCCGAGGCACAGCCCGGTCACGATGGAAGCACCTCCGAAGGCCTGACAAAGCTTCACACAAGATGCCGGGCTGAAAGCACAACCGAGTCTGAAGACTTGGACCCTTCATATGTCTTACAGCTGGAGAATTTTCCCTCCCAGCTGGCTTACATCCAGCTTGCAGGGAGCCTAGGAACACTCTAGACTTGCACAGTTGCTTGAAAGCCAACACAATTGCTGAGCCCCTCGGCTACTTCTTTCAAAGCCATACCCGGCTGCCCAAAAAAAAATGCTACAGCTTTGAGGTCTGTAACTGCCTTTGCTTTTTCAACTCCACGCCGAGCCTGTGTGCAGAACTTCGGGTCTCGAGACGGCCTTTTCAAGGAGGTCATGTGATACAAGCATGCAAAAATACCAAAGAACGACTACACAGACATACTCGCTTCAGAACACGGCTTGTGCTCAACGGGAATCAGCATAGATCAGCCACTGATAGGTTTGCTCATCTTTTAGCCTCTCCCCTTGCGGCACCTTTTCATCTTTACTGTACATTGAGCTTGAAGCTGATAATGAAGCTGCGAAGTCCTGACTGCCAAGCAATGGACACCAAGGCTTTGCGAGCCCCAGTTGCAAAGGCGGCAGCTGGCTTATGGGCAACAACGACTCCCAGGCATCCAGATCCTGCCGCAGGGCGGCAGGGATAGGTGTTTTCGTGTCAACTCTGTACTGTTGAGTCTAATTTTTTGTGTCAATGAGAATCAGAGAGACATCTCAAGCACTGTGGACCTGCATCAGCCAGGCACAGACGCCATATTAAGCGAAAGCCAGGCTCTTGATGCCAAACTTTCTACCGGCCTCTGACCTTCTTCCTAGCCTGGCTGTAAGGGAATGCATCCCAAGATTGGGCTCAGGGTTTTGCAGAGCCTCTCACAAGGAGCACTTGTGACAACATTCTGCTCTCCAGGCGCAAGCTTCGGGTCAACAGATCCGCCTCCAGCCCAGGGAGTGTCTCGCAGAAGCCGAAGGAGTCGAGGTCTGAATCAGCCTGGAAAGGGCGGAGTTCCGGGCCAAGCCCTCAGTGAGAGCCCAGGAGCCTGGTGGATGCTCAGTGGTGCCACGTTAACTGCAAACAGGAGCTGAAACCCTCAACCCCTCCACAAGGCAGTGTGGATATCCGCGTTCAGGAGCTTGGCAAGCTGAGCCCTGTTTGAGTGAGGTTGAAAACCTTTATGCGGTTTCCAGCAGGAACGAAAACTTCCGCTGAAGCAAGTGTCGCTTCCGCGCAGGCGGGCAGGCTCTTTCAAACCTGACGGACGTTATGAGCTTCTGCGAGTCTTCCGTGGTTTAGCGCTGCAGGAGACGTTGATGATAGATTCCAGTTCTTTTGCATCCTCGGACAAAACCCCCTCCGCAACCCTTTGGCGAGTATGCCGTCCAAGCTACGATTGCATTACAGCTTCCACGAATGCAATGTGCCCACGTGTATCCCAGTATGCTTACAATAGCCTCTGCACAAAAAAGCCGGCTCGAGACCCGATGTCGCTGGTCCTTCTCCCATTCCAACCCCAATCAAAACATCTCCAGAAAAATGTTAGGCCTGCGCGAGTTTTCATGTTACAAAGTGTCCTCCGTCTTGTGCATGAGAAGGGTTATGAAAAGGAGCCGTTGCCAGGATGTAAGCGATTGTCATTCACAAATGCATACAATTATGTACATGAAAGATGCCGCATGAGTCGCGGACGCTGGGGCAGCAGGAAGATTGTCATGGTGTCCGTGTAAAGTAGCATGCTTAAGCAATGATTTCCTCGTCATACAGATTGCGAAGCTACAGGAAGGGGAGGGGTGAGCGCAGCACAAGCCAGATTAAAGGGACTCTGCATCAACCCCTTGGCCCTAGCTAGGAACACTGAGCTCCTAGCAGCAATAACATGAATTGCAGCTCATGTAGTCCCCGCTCCTCCGCACTTTCCTCAGAATACCTCGCACAAGCTGTAGCGAGACGCAGAGGAGAGAGGGAGAGATAGATATATGGCATATATAATCACATATAGTTATATAAATATATCTGTGTATACACACACTGCAAGCAAGCAAGCTTGTGGGATCTATTGGGGAACCCTTCATCTTCTAGAGGGCTTTGAAGGCATGGATCCCCATCTTCGGAAGGAGCTGTGAAGCAAAACCGTCCCGCGGGTTTTATTCGCTGCAAAAATTCCCTTGCGAGCATTCAAACACTCAACGTCCACCTTTCAAGGCTTAGAAGCTGCATGGCACCCCAGATTGAAAAAACGCGCCCCCTTCCCTCAGCTCCTATCTCATCCATTTGGTAGTTTCTCAAAGTTGGAGGGTACTTTTTGGGGGGTCCCTTCATAAGGATTACAATATTTTGGGGTCTATATTGGGTCCCCCAATTTTGAAAAACTACCCTTTCTTGTAGACTGAGTTTTACCTTTCGGACGGGGCTTCCAAGGATCGAGCTCGGCTCCCTAAAGCGGGGACCCTTCATGGCCTTCCTGTACTTGACCTAAAGCAGGTGCCGTACCTTTGATCAACTAAGATCTGTTCAAGCTGCACTGGAGCATGCGAAACCCTTGCAAGACAATTACCGAACAAAGCAGCTGCCTGTTTCACATGTGTGCTCAAGGCAGGAAAAATTGACTATGCTTCAGAAATGGCTACAGTGCCGAAGTGCTGAACTGCAGAACAGTGAGAGCTCCTGTGCGTGTTCCAGTCCAGGCCTGCTGCTCCCCAGCAACGGATCTTGGCTTTCAGCAGAGGGCGAGGCGTCCATCGGAAGCAGGCAGCGAAAGATAAGGCGCAACTGCCAATCGCATTTCATCAGCAATATGGTCTTCTGGAGTTTCCTGCTACGTCCTACTGGTTCTTCACTTTGCTTCTACACGCGTTTAGGGGGTTTACAGTTCAGGCTTTCTAGAATAGAGTGGCACGGCCCATGTAAAACTGTATGCGCCTCACTTCATTGCTTGACTTTGCATGCTCAAGGAAAAGCTGCAGCATGCCACATCCGGCGTTCTGTAAACGGACTCCCGGCACAAGTCTGCAGACAGCGACGCAAATCTGTGAAATGACATCGGTTTTTATCTTCCAGCAATGCTCTGGCGCAACGACTTCCAAGACCCTCCTTGACTGCAAACTTGAACTAATAATCACAAATTGCAAGGCCCAGTCTAACGTAAACTCCAAAACCAAAGCCCTGTGCGCTAGACCTGAAACATCCTGAAACCCTAGACCCTCAGCCTCAAACGCTGAGCCATCGAGCCCAAGCCCGGAGCCCTAAACCTAGACATTGAACTATAAACCCTAAACCCTAAACGGCCCTAAACCCCAAACCTACCAAGAACTCAGCATTCTTGCTCGTAAGCTCTCCCGACTTCTCACTGCCAACCGAGGTGGACGCTCCTGTCTAGCCTCCGAGTTGGGACGGCAGAAAGAATTTCCCAAAAGCGTCCCACTTCGCGATGGCTCCACGCCATTTCCAGACAGGCTCTGGGAATAAAGTCTTCATAGCACGCTAATGCTGCAGGTTTTTCGGCCGATCACAATACATCTTGGTGGAAAGCTGTGATACTTCCTGGCGGAAAGCTGTGCAACCGAGATCAACCAAGTGTACCGACATGCCGCTTGTCAGAGCTTGATGAGGCTTGCGATGGACGTGTTGCGAAGCCTGTACGACGCTTTGTGTGGGGCCAAAGAAACAAGACCTCAGTTGATCAGCCCAAAAACTCAACCGTCTTGTGGCACCATGAGCGCCAAATCTGCTTCAGCCCACGCTCCGTACCACAGACTCTCGGAGCCGAGTCTCCATCGTGCCTCCAGCCAAAGCCCGCCAACCGCATCATGTTAATGCTTCCTCCAGCACTCTCCGAGCTGACCAACAATTTGGCACGTTGAGCCCTTGCACCAACGTCATATAGGTTGACACAATTTTTGCAATCTAGTGGCTTAGGCCGACATCTGGCTGGCATCATGCACGACCAATGAGTGCCTGCGATCACACATGATCCTATTCTTGCTGTCCTTCAATAAACAGCTAACGGAACTTGGCGTCCTTGTGTTTGAAGTCAATCGGGAGATGGCTTCTGCCGTTTAGCAGAAACGGTCTGCAGGTTTCTCAGCTCGTCCACCCAGGAGTGCCTCGGGCCGACCTGGAACCAACAAACGCCAAACTGCAAACAACTACACAAACAAGGGGCACAATTATTCAATGACAGGCGTGATGTTTTAGCTGACGTAATGCTCACAGTGCAGCCACCTCTCTCTCCAAGATAGGAAGCGCCCGAGCGATCGCTTTGGCTCGCTCCGGTGTGCCAGGGGAATATGTCAAGGCCAAATGCCGAAGGGTTTTGGCCACTTGCAAATGTGCCTCAGTGCTGTGTGCTGGAGTTCTGCCATGGTCACAAGAGCTTTCCCTGCCTCTCCGAGCTTGCTCTGAAAGACGGAGAGCGCATGCTCCAGAATGTCGCGCGCTTCTGACGCGTGGCCGAGCCCCAGAAGGACCATTCCAAGGCACCGCTGCGTTCTTGCTGTCTCCAAGTGCTCCATTCCGAAGTATTCGCTCTGAATCTTCAAAGCTTTCTCGAGCAACGGCTTGGCCGTGCTTGCGCCGCCCGTTTCTGAAAATGCCGATCCAAGACCTCCCAGGGGAAGACAGAGATCATAGATAAGTCAGATGAACAACTGCCAACGCCTTGCATATGCTGGCGTGGCCTCTAAGAAGAAGTGCCACATCCACATGCTCCTCTCCAAGTCGGGAGATGCCAATGCCAAGAGCACGCTGGAAGAGCTCTTGCTTCTTGGCAAAGTTGCCCAATGCCCCTTGGGCATTAGCAAGGAGACAGAGCATGCTCATCGTCATTACGTGGTCGCCGCCGAAGTTGGCCTCTGCTATCTCCGAGGCACGCTGCGCTGCATTGCATGCGGCCCGAAAGTTCCCCAGCTCTGCGTGGGCACTGGCGAGGTTTGCCACACAGCTAAGGGTGGACAAGTGCAGTGGCCCAAAGTGTGTTTCTAAACTATCCAGACTTGCCGTGGTCAAACGGAGCTGCAAATTGTATTGGCCAAGATTGCCAACGGCGTGGGCATAAGCTGCTCGCGCTTCTGCAACTAAGACATGGTCAGGGCCATAAGCTTCGCTCAGAAGGTCGAAAGCCTCTTTGGCAATCTCTGCTTCTTGCAGATACTCACCAGAGCTAGCAAACGCTTGCGCCAGCAGCCTCAAAGCAGCTGCGGTCCGCACATGCCTGCGGCCGTTTGCAATCTCAATAATGGCCACGCTTCGCTTTGCTAGCTCCAACTGCTTCTTGTAGTGCCCAAGGCCTGCCTCGGCCAGTGAGAGGCCACCAAGCGTAAGTGCAACTTCCAGGTGCTCGGGTCCATACTCCTTTTCAACAATGCAAAGAACTTTCTCCAGCAAATCCTTCTGCAGCTGATAATTGCCTAAGCGTCCATGGCTGTCTGCAAGGTTCCGCGTTGCAATAGCTGTATTCACGTGGTTCTCGCCAAACTCTCTTTTCTTGATACGGAGTGCTGTTAGCAGTAACTTCTGCTGCGTAGCATAATCTCCGAGGTGAGCATGCGCGCCAGCCAGATTTACCATAGCTACTGCTGTGCTGGCATGCTCGCATCCAAAATGCTTCTCCTGCACAACCGGGATTACATTCTGACAAAGCAAATGTGCAGGCTTCGGGAAGCTAACCTTTGTGAGGGTCCTTGATGGCTAGTGCCTCTACCAGCAGTTGCTTCTGTGCTTGGTAGTTGCCAAGGTTGCCTTCAGCATCTGCCAAGTTCACCTCCAAATCATTCCACAGGGTAACAAACATGGTTTAGAGCTCTTACAAAGCGAGAAAGAAGTTCTTGGTGATGGGGCCCTTCTTTGTAGCTGTATTTCCTAAGGCCCTGATGTGAAGCAGTATGGGTTTGGGGCTTTCAGTGCCGAGCAGCCATGCTTGCCGCAGTGTCCACATGCTCCTTGCCCAATGCTGAGCTGTCGGTGTCCAAAACCCGTCCGAGAATTTCTTTCTGCTGGCCATAATTGCCAAGGTTCCGATGCGCGGCAGCCAGCGTGCTCAACGTTGAGCAAAGCTTTGGGCTTCCGGATCCGAACGCCTCTTCTTCAATTAGTAGGGCGCGCTCGCTAAGCTCCTTTTGTTTGCAGTATTCGCCGAGCTGACCATGCGCATCAGCCATCAGCCCCAGAGTCACTCCGACAGTGACGTGATGAGCGCCAAAGGCCTGGGCTCCCGCTTGTTGCTGCAGCTGTTTTTCGCGTTGGATTGCGGCCGAGAGGCTCCTTCATAAATGCGCAGCGCACGCCGGAGCAAATTCATCTGCTGTTTGTATCTGCCCATGTCACCACAGGAAATTGCCAGGCTGCAAAGCACCCTTGCGGCTTGCAATGAGTCCATGCCGTGCTTCTCCTCGCATTGCTGGAGCCCGGCTTCACCTGGTCAAGGAACAGGGCATGTGAAGGCAGTGCAGGATTTGCCTCAAATTTCCGCCCGTTGCCAGGCAACCTGGCCTAACATGTACGCAACATCGCTGATGTAGGCATGGCCACAAATAGAACAGGCCAGCTCATGCCATGCAGCCTTGTGCATGTAGGCCTGCGCAGTAATCGTCAAGCATATCAAATCATATCAACCCAAACTGTTCAGACGGAATGCGCTTAGCGTCCAACGCTGAGAGATGCTAGTACTAGTGTAGACTGCAGCAAAGTGACTCTGAGCAAGCAGTCTTGATGAACCCATGCAGCAGATCCACGGCATAGACAGGGTGAGCACATTGAAGTCCCTCGCAGGGCTGTATGATATGACTTCTTTGGACCACACTTTGTTTCAAGCTGCCTGCATGGTCTCCCAAACATATTCGGCATTGTTTTGCAATCGCTGAAGCCATGGCAGGTCACGGACGTTAGGCCAGCATTTTTGAATCCTGTAGCTTGACCAGATATCTACCGAAGCGCAGACTAGAGGACAACGCGCACGCAGATTCCAGGTCCAGGCAGAGCTTTGCTTCAAGCCTCCAACCAATTCAAATGAATGTTAGATCCGAGCGTAGTGGCAACCAGCGGTAGTTCTGAGCATCCTTGAGCGTACGTTGCAAGGCACTAGCTGTGTAAAGAGTCACGTTGCTTTTGAAAAGTGTGCCTGAAGTGGGAATTGAATACTTAACAGAAGTGCTGCTTGACTCATTCATTTCAAAAGGAGTGTTGGGACAAAAAGTCCTCGTGCACACCACTCGTCGCAAAGCCTAGGCCCACCCAAAGATCTAGCAATGTGTCTGTCCTTGCCGAAAAGCACCAAAGCTCTCACGCAATTTGATCCACAGCCAGTCGGACAAACGTCTGTTCGAGGAGCACCGGAGCGCTGCCAAGCGACTCGAGACTTCGCGGCGCTGCGTAGCGCGCACGCGAAGGTCTGGTGCATTGGCAGGCGCTCTTGCGTTCCCACGAGTTGCGAAGTACGTGCAGTATCGAAACTTGATGCAGGCCAGCAACAGATGCCTTGTTTAACAGGAGACTATGATAGACCGCTTCTGTGGGTCTGGTTGGTCCTGATGCTACTGCCATGGACCATCCTAAACTCAGACAGCCAAATCCTGCTGTACCTTGAGTGTTGCGTATGGTCCCCTCAGGCCCCTCTGCCCTCAGCCTCCTACAGCACCGAGATCGTTTGCATGGAATACGCTGGCGGCTTTGATGGTGCCACCGCTTTTATGGCAAGCTGCCATTCTGAACTGCATCTTATTTCATCTTGACCAATCAGGTCAGCAGCAGCAATTTCATCTCGCCCTGTTGAAGGGCACGGTTTGGGTCTTTCCATAGGCGCACCTGGCCAGGCGGCAACAGCACGCAAAGTGTTCGAAGCTTTCATGCTCAGGAGTCGGATTCCAGTGCCTTGGTATCGCCTGAGGCTGCCCCTACGACATCGGGGACACCAAAAACACGAGCAAGCCAGTAATGGTCTCCTGCCAATAAATCATGTGTCACGCATGCAGCATAATGTTCAGCATTGTGCAGCCCCCCGTCGCTGCTGCCAACCCTGGGTTTACGTTGCATACGTGGCCGTCCTAGATCTGACAAAGCATTGATCTCGGCCTTGGAGATCTCAAAAAATTCTTTATTACCTGCAAGCTTGCTGCCCTTCTCAGGCAACTTGTGCAGTGGAGCGTTGACAGAATATGCCTGACGTCGTAGATTTCACCTCCACAAAATACACGCCTTGATCTCCTTCATATCAGGATGGTAGTGTAACTTGAAAGGCGTTAGTGCGACTTTCCTGGCATCGCAGTGTCCTTCTCCGCGCATGGCAGCATTGAACAGTCTCTCGGCCGAGTTTTGTTGTACCTTCCCATCAACACCGCAGATCGAGGGCAGCTTTCCGTTGAGGCCTAGGTGTGGCACCAAGAATACGTCATAGCAAGGATACAAAGGTTGCCGAGACGCCGAGGATAAGATCGAATGGAAGACCCAGCTCACTCTCTTCATTTATCCAGCAAACCTCCCCACTGAAAGATGCGTGGCAATCACTGGCAGGTCAAGCATGCCCTGGCCTCGTAACCCTGCTGCTTGAGTGCCAGGGTTGCCAATTGCTCACCGACTTGTCCCACCTGCTGAGTCGCCCCACCTCAGCCATCTCCCAATTGAACACTACAATCCGTCTTCCGACAGCCATGCCACTTGCGCCTTATGCTAGTAAGACACTCGCGCCCGCACCCACTGACGTCAGCGCATTTCTGCTAACTGCTTGCAAGTCTGCCAGCTGGACTGGCAGGTCTCGGAACGTGCCAGTTTCCAGCGGTGGTGTGTCCAAGTCGAGGGCAATTCTGCACAAGAAGGGGTGGCAACGCATGAGGCACAAGGATCAGACATCAACACGAACCTGTGGTGCGTACAGCTTTGGCCTTCTGAAGGGGTATCCGCGTGGATGACTTTTCTGCTTCTCCTCCTTTTCGAAGATCCTCCGTGGCCTGGAGTCCTGCAGGCAATTTCTGCAGGCAGGTCACTCTTTAGGTTCTGCTGCGCCACGGGATACCCAAACATTGCAGAAAAAACGAACGAATTCATCATGCACGGCGGCCCGCCATAGCACCCCTGTTATCCTAATTATTTTCTAGCCTTGCTATTACTAGGACTATGCTAAAATTCTACTATTCTTGACAAGAGAAGCAAAAACCTGAAAAGCACAGAGAGGATGAAGATGGCTCAGTGAGACGCAGATCAGCAGTGATAATCGTATGAATAATGAAATCGGAATCTAAAAATAGCAACATGAATGTTAAGACCTAGGAGCAATTCACAATAGTATTAATCATGATAGTCGTGTGCAGATTTGCCATGCTCTGCCTTGCCAGGAATCTTGCATCGCGTTTGTCGCATTGAGGGTGGTTCAGTTGCTGTCAAACTCTCGTGATATGACTTGCTATTGTTTGGGCATGCTTCTCAGATGATGAGCCACATGCGAAAACCTTTCTGCGATTATTGCTATTGATTTCCACATGCAGTTAGCCTTGTCTGCTAGCAAATCTAATCTACCTTTTTGGAAAGGCGCGGTGATGAATCCTAAGCTCAGCAAGCTGAGCACGTGGCAGGACATGGAAGCCTGACCTCTGCATCACGATCCCTGCCCTGCCGAGCACTTTGCCGCCTGCCGCGGTCCACCTGCCATGAAAGAATGATAGGCTTCCGTACAAAAATCCAGAAATTCATCTTCTTTGCATGACTACACTTCAGCGACAAAGAAAGCACCTCGCGTTGCTGCACCGGTTCCACCTCGCCGCTCCTGTCCTGTCTGCCGTCTGCAGCAGGCTCTTCATCCTGAAGCAGTCGCAGAACGCAGGTAGAAAGCACAAAGCTAACCCTCACATGCAGGAAGTCCATGACAGGAGCAGCATCTCATCTGAGGCATAGGCAGGCGCTGAACTGCTTTCTGCTACGTTGTACGGCAGCACTGGAGGCAGCATCTCGCCAAGCTCCTGCATTGATGACTATTCCTTCTTGCAAGCAAACACTGTTGTGCCGCAGCGTCCTGCGCATCTAGATTGGTTCTTGATTTCCCGGGATGTTGTGGCAACGATGATGGCTGAGTAGCATCATCCTGTCTTTCCGGCGCCGTCACCGGCGGAGAAGCGGCAGAGGAGTTTCCAATCCTTGCGGCTGAGTACTGGTCGATCAGGCCTATGCTGTTGTCAGGGAGGGAAGAGGTGGAGGCAACGAGGGAGAGAGAGAGAGCGAGAGAGAGAGAGAGAGAAACAGAGAGGGAGCGAGCCAAAGCGCGAGCGAAAGTGCGAGCGAAGGTCGTTGCGGGTGTCAGGAGAGCGAGAGGGAGGAATGGAGTGACTGCTGGGAATTGTCTTGCAAAGCTATACTGTCCTCAGCTTCTTCAAGTCACGAAGGGTCTCCCTTTGTCGTCGTTTGCGCTTGAAGTTGAGCCTGAACTGCACTCACTTTCTGCGGATCCCACTGGCACACACCTACTCGCAATCTCAAGCTCCAATCAGAAAAGGCTCGCATCCAGCGCATTCTGCAACAGGTCATCTTCGGAGAAGTTTGATCCAACGTCAACATTTCCCTCTGCTTCAGAGGCATGCGCCATTGCATCCATGAAGTCCGCGTCCTCCATCCCCTTCATTGCCTCGAATATCCTGGGCACTCAGCGGTCGACAAAATCGCAACTGCGGACAGTTGGCATTGCTCGCTGAAGAGCATTCTCTGCAGTTCTCCGATGCGTATGCCACTGAAAGCTGACTGTTTTGCAGCTCCATCGAACTGGGCTTGTGGAGCATTCTGGAGCTAATCGGAGATAATGAGTTAAACAGTTCTCGAGTACTTCCGCGGGACAGTTTCGAGTTTTGCCGTGGGAGTACGGGCATGTGTCAACCGCACTGCTTTGATCAGCGCAACAGCAGGCTTGGGGGAACACCTCTGCTGCGGGCATGATGTTTTCTCTGCAGCCAATTTATCCAACAATGCAGGAAGCCTAGTCTAGTACTCTCTGGGGTGCCCTTCTTCATCTTATCCTCGGGGCACATGCCGTTCACCCACTTATTGAGACTGCGGTAGCTTCTTCTTGAACGATGTAGCCGTTTGAGTCTCCCACTTGCGGCAGCAACCTACCATGCAGTTCAGCGACATTTCAAGCTTTTGGCTCCGCCACTTGATCTCCTCCCACAACGCAAGGAACAGGCAGCACAAGGCTCATCGTGGCTGGGACGTACAGTGCAACCACTGTACAAGAAATGACTGGTTAAGAAATGTAGGGGCTACGTCGGCTGGATAACACGAA